GTAAAAAACTTGAAGCTTTCTTCAAGTTTGATATTTTTTGAGAAAATGAAAATTTAGAATGCAAAAGGGATATTTGATGCAACAATCATACTGGTTCTTCAACTTTCAAAGCAAGATAAATAGAAGTGAAAATCACAAAAACATGTTCTATTTTGTAAATTTTCCATGTCTTTACCTTCCTCTCTATAAATGTTCGTTCCACTCTAGTGAAGGCCCAAAAATAACATGTCTCTTTCTAGCTTTTTCTCTTTCTAATAATTTTGTTGTTTGCCTTGTTAGTTGTTACCACCAACAAGTAAAAACTCATAGAATTTTAGATTGATAAAAAGACTAATGTGTGTTATTATGCCCATTTCGAGTTGAATATTTTGCGAACATCTTCTTATGTTCTTTAATTATTTTATAAAGTCAATCTTTAAAAAAAATTGGACCTCGAACAAAACACAACTTCTGGACCTTTTTAGTATATATATATACATACTTTTTTATTAAATGGACCATTTTATATGGATAAATAAAATTTTAATTTTAGATGGGTCCTTAGATCTTGTTTGTAAAAGATTTTGTTTGTTTGACTGGTTGCAAGTGCCAAAAAAACGTACTTATTGGCTATTTGTTCACATGTTTCTACTTTACCCAATTAGATAAAATAACTAAAATAGCCAATTAAAAAAAGTCAATTGAAAATGTCAAATCGAAGAACTAAACTTATCAAATTTACTAGTCTGTCCAAATTTATTTGAATACCTTCAACCAAACCGAACTTTGCCATAAACAAACCAAACTGAATCATAGTTCTACTTGGTTAAATTCAGTAAAACATTTCAAACCCGAATTATTCGAATAACTGACGAACCGAATGCCCTACGTGTATAATAAAACCTTCAAACTATGTTAGTTATCGTTTTCACTAAATTATACTATTTCATAAAAAAAATTACATTTTGGGTAGGGCCTACACTGATGACTATAAGGGCCCATGGAGCCGTAATGGGCTTGATGGTTGGACCACTTCTGAACGATAAAACCAGGCTGTCGTACTGGTATGCAGCTGTAGTCCACGTGTCAAATCATTTTGTCATTAAGAGAAATTCTTACTAAATTAATACTAACTTTAAGCCCTGATCGAATCTTCGTGGTCCAATCAAATGTTCCTTTTCTTAAAGACTACAGTAAAAACATTGCATCATTATATCAAAAGCCTCGTTTTAAACAGTGCTTTATTACATAAACTAAAGCTGATGGGACAATTAAAAGATAGTTGGATGATTAAGTTTGACACGTGGCGGAATATCAGTGGAACTACTATACAGCTGGTAATTTGAAGGGTTTGACATAGACTTGTAATCTTTTTCCAGCATTTAATTAGCTGGCTGGCTAGTTAACGGGCAAAATCAAAAACCTTATATTTCTTTTTTTTTTTGTTTACCAGTATTTGCTTAATTCATAAAACCCCTAAAAAAAGGAATTGCATTTGAAGGAAACAATTTTTCTTCTAAAATTATTATATTTTTTAAAACAAAAGCAATCTTGAAATGGATGAGATATCATTATTTTGTATGTATAGAGACGAGAAAAATATATATAGAGAGAGATACCGAGTAGGGGAGAAGTCATCTTCTTTATTGCTTCAATAATCAATCTTCTTCGACCTAATGATCTTCTATTTTTTAGGTATCATATCATTAATCACATGAAATAAACAAATCAATTATCATCTCCAAGCCTTAATCTTTTTAATAATTAAATATAAAGGTCGATGAAAATTGTAGTTTTGTAGACCCCATCTTTTTTTTTAAAAAAGCTTCTTTTGGTAGTTAGCTTTTCTAAAAATCAAAATTCATAAAAAATAATTATAGTCTTACTGCGTGGGTTAAAAGAAAATATAATATCACACAAATATTTTAAAATAAACAGAAAATCTATTAGTAATTTAAAATAGAACACAAAATTTATCCTGTCTTAAAAAAAAATCCTAAAATGACAATGGTAATTGGTAGTTTACAAAATTAAACCTAAAATGAAATTATTTAGTATAATTACTGAAAAAGAAAGAAACTAGGCTTTTTCTTTAACAAATACAACAGTGAAGGGCTAGTGCATAATTGCTGTTGCTTCATCTCTCTCCCCTATTACAGATCGCAGAGTGTGTATATATATTTTTCGTATATATGTATCGATTAAAAAAAAAATTAGTCATGAGATAATGAGAGGGAAGATGTAAAACACCTAAAACTGAAAAGTACAAGACACCAAATTCTTCAATTTGATTTTTTTTGTTTCTATCTCTTGTTACGAAGCACAAAAGCCACGAAGCACAATAACGACTTCTTTTTGCCTTGTTTCAAGATTTCTTCATAGTTTTGCAGACACAAACAAAATTAAAAAAAAAAGGTACGATTTTTATCTCTAATTTTCTTCAAAGTTCTTGGCTTTTTTTTTTTCTTTTGACTTTCGTCGAATTGGTTACTGGGTTTTGTGCTGTTTCTTTGTTAGTAACTGAATCCATTACAGTTTAGATAATTGGGGAAATTCGTTAGGTTTTTCTTCTCCAATTTGGGATTTTTATGGTTCTCGATTTAACCAAAAAAAAAAAAATCGTTTGGTAATGAATTATCTTCTTGTTTCAACTGATTTGAATCTCAATCTGGTAAAGAAGAAAAAAAAAACCGATCTTTAATCTGTTTTATTGATTTTTCAGATTTATAGTTTGATTTTGCTACAAAAGGGTTAGGCTTTTGATTTTGGGGCAAATGGACGAAAGAGAGAAGAATGGGAATGGAAACCACGAGAGGGTAAAAGACGATTCTGCCCTTGAGAACTCACCTAGGAGTCCTTTAAGCTCCATAGATCTCGCCATTGATGGTGCCATGAACGCTTCAATTGAGCAGCTTTACAACAATGTCTGTGAAATGGAGAGCTCTGATGATCAATCTCCATCGAGGGCTAGTTTCATTTCGTACGGAGCTGAATCGAGAATCGATTTGGAGCTGAGGCATCTTGTGGGAGATGTGGGAGGAGAAGTTGTAGAGAGGAAGAAAGAGATTATCTTGGAGAAGAAGGAAGAAAGCAGCGACAGTAGAAGTAGCTTGAATCAGAAGAAACCAGGTGAGTCTCACTCCAATGGTAAGAAGAACGTTGCGAAAACCGCAGGTTCGAGGATCTCTTCGAGGAAATCGAAATCCCCGGATTCTGTGGATGAGGAGAGTCCTGAGCTCGGGCCGTGGTTGTTGAAGCAAGCTAGAGAGATGGTTTCTTCTGGTGAGAATCTGAACAAAGCTCATGATTTGGCGCTGCGAGCTGTGAAAGCGTTTGAGAAATGTGCACAAGGAGAGAAACAACAAAGGTTGAATTTGGTGATGTCTTTGCATATCTTGGCAGCGATCTATGCGGGTTTAGGGAGATATACTGATGCAGTGCCTGTTCTTGAGCGTTCTATTGAGATACCAATGATTGAAGATGGTGAGGATCACTCGTTGGCGAAATTCGCAGGTTGTATGCAGCTTGGTGACATGTACGGTTTGATGGGTCAGGTCGAAAATTCGATTTTGCTTTACACAGCTGGTTTAGAGATCCAAAGACAAGTTCTTGGAGAAACAGATGCACGAGTTGGGGAAACTTGTAGGTACTTGGCAGAAGCTCATGTTCAAGCAATGCAATTCGAAGAAGCCTCGAAGCTTTGTCAAATGGCATTGGACATTCACAAAGAGAACGGATCTTCCACGACAGCTTCTATTGAGGAAGCTGCGGATAGAAAACTGATGGGGCTTATCTGTGATGCGAAAGGTGATTACGAGGTTGCGCTTGAGCATTATGTTTTGGCTAGCATGGCAATGTCGTCTCAGAATCACAGAGAGGATGTTGCATCAATAGATTGCAGTATCGGTGATGCTTACATGTCTCTAGCTCGGTTTGATGAATCGATATTCGCGTACCAGAAGGCTTTGGCTGTGTTTAAGCAAGCAAAAGGTGAGAATCATTCCTCTGTTGCTTCGGTTTATGTCAGGCTTGCTGATTTGTACAACAAAATTGGGAAAATACGTGATTCAAAATCCTACTGCGAAAATGCTCTTAGGATTTACCTTAAACCATCTCCGGGAACTCCTGTGGAAGAGGTTGCAACTGGTTTTATAGAGATTTCGGCGATATATCAGTCGATGAACGAACTTGAACAATCTCTTAAGTTGCTGAGGCGGGCATTGAAGATATATGAAAACGCTCCAGGTCAACAGAACACGATTGCCGGTATCGAAGCTCAAATGGGTGTGATTTCCTACATGATGGGGAATTATCCGGAATCTTATAACATTTTCAAGAGCGCGATATCGAAGTTCCGCAACAGCGGAGAGAAAAAAACAGCTCTTTTCGGGATTGCGTTGAATCAGATGGGACTTGCCTGCGTTCAGCGTTACTCCATCAACGAAGCTGCAGATTTGTTCGAAGAAGCGAAAACTATTCTGGAGAAAGAGTACGGACCGTACCATCCCGATACGTTAGCAGTTTACAGTAACCTCGCAGGAACATACGACGCAATGGGCAGGTAAATTAACACCTTGACACATCTTCTCTCTTTTAAGTTTTGTTTTGTGAGATTTCTAGCGGTTGGAGCAGTGTGTTGTTTGATTTACAGGCTAGATGATGCTATAGAGATACTGGAGTATGTCGTTGGGACAAGAGAAGAGAAGCTTGGGACAGCGAATCCGGAGGTGGAGGACGAGAAGCAGAGGCTAGCTGCATTGTTGAAGGAGGCTGGAAGAGGAAGGGTTAAGAGAAACAGAGCACTTCTTACCCTTTTGGACAATAACCCTGAAATTGCACCAAACTGTGGACAAAGACCGGTTTATTGATGAAACCGGGTTATGGTTTGGTCTAAAATGTATATACATACGAAATTCTAATACAGTACTTACACGGTCTGCGAATGAAAGTGAAAAGAGAAGGAAGAGGTTTTATGTTTTGTGATTTTATTAGAATCTCTGATTCAGAGATGCTAAAGCATTCATGTTCCATTTGTTTTGTAACTATTGGCATTTTAATTTTTTGTTTTTAAATAAAGAGTAAAATGTATGAAAACTTCTAGATTTGAGTTTCTCTGACTTTTAGCACGGATCTTGTATAAACATGTGTTTGGTTTTAAAAACATCTTTTGAAATCTTGTATTTTGTTGTTTGGGCAACTGATCTTGTGTGAACAAGTGTTTTGATCAACTCTTGTCTTAAACCTAGCAGAGCAATATCAAACCAAATTCATAGAGAAAGACAAACTATGCTATAGTTACATTCATTAATGGTAAGTTAATTTTTCATCAGCTTGCAAGCTTTTTGGGTTGGTAGAGGCGGATCAGATATCGATCCGTCGAGGATCTGGTTTGCGACTAGCATATTCGCGGTTTCGGAATAATGTATACCATCCCAACTTATGAATTCTGTGCGGTTTTTGCAGGAAGAACTATACAGTTCTGTCCCATTTGGAAATATTGTCTTTCCACATCCCATTCCACGTCCGACCGCCCCAACGCAACAATAATCAAAAGGATCCACAAAACCTGCAATTAGATCGATTAAACCGGAAATTATGAGATGTGTTAACCGTATGATGTTTTTTTGTTTCAATGGTTTTCGTTTTGATACTTACCGAGATGCTTTGATTTGGTGATCAAATTGTATTTAGCTGAGTAGACATCAACATAAGTAAAGAGAGAAGAAGGTAACTCCTTGTTCAGTTCAGAGATTTTGTTCTTGAGCTGCTTGTTGAACTCAATCGCTACATTGTTTAGAGGTTCTAAACAACCGTACCGATCTCGCGGTGTAGCGGTAAAAGATTTCAGAAGATACGATAAACAGCCCGTGGGTCCGGTGTTATGAATTGAGAAGAATCTTGCTCCTTCTTTGTAAAGCAACTAAAAAATATATATATACAAAGTAATAGAGTGTATATGATGTAATTCATAATTTTAGCTAAGTAATATTGAATTTTATGATAACCCATTTGTTAAGTTTCATTTTAGTTCAACTCAAAACCATATCGATAATTTAGATACTTACTTTTAAAGCAATGGTAAAGTTTTCGATGATTTTGGGTATAAATGCTTTAAGTTGTTCCTCCGTCATGTTTTGGAACCCGATCGCGAGATCATTCTGCCCGATATCGAATGTATAAAGAGCTTTTGAGAAATCTTTGGGCCGTGCAAGGACTTCTTTGCAGAATGGGGTTTTCCCTGAGGCTGAAAACAAAGTGTTCACAAAAAGAAACTTAGGATCGGTAGTAGTTTTAATTTCCGATTTGGCAATTGAAGTGACTTACCCGGTTAACTTACCGTTGGTTTTGTTGTATAGAGACAAAGTACGAGACTTGAAATGAATGAATTGGGACACTTGAGTGCCAAGATGGAATTGGCTAAAACAAGCAGCAGTCGGGCGGACACAAGAACCGCCAGTCGCAAAATTAGCACCATGTCTGTAATTAGCTCCAACCGAATCCAAGTACGGTGTTAGATACGGTAACGTGAGATTTTCGGCTGCCAAAAACCATAACAAATACTGTTTATATATCGTATCATACTAAATGTTACACAAACTTTGGTCTAATTTTGTTTAGATGTTTAAGTCGTAAAATTGGTACGCATTGCCGATCCAAAACATTAGTTTCCTCTCAAAAGGCTCTATCTCTTTTTCTCCCGACCAAAATCAATGTAGGTTACTTGAACTAG